AGATTAATAATGATGTAGATTAATAATGATGTAGATTAATAATGATGTAGATTAATAATGATGTAGATTAATAATGATGTAGATTAATAATATAGATTTTTTTTTTGTTATGTTTTTTATCTATCAACTTATAAGAATTGTTGGTAGGAAGAGAAATATCTTAACCTTCGTCTACTTCAAATGTTCATCTCCAGCGCCATTCATCCTGTCTTGTTATCAAGAAAGCTATCCATTTCAAAGAAACCAAGAACATGATGTTGAACGTGATTCAGAGCAAGGAAGATTTGGAGTACAGGAGCGACTCTGAGAGTGGAAGGTCCGGGACAACGTCTTTCATCTCCAGTGTGAGCAATGACAGCGACCCGGCGCTGCGCAGTGCCGGACAGGCCCGATTTTCACCAGGTGGCGTGCCGACTGACCTGTTCCCGTTATCGCAGCCAGAGGTTGGCGGTAATGATGTCTTTTCCGCGAGAGCACAACAAGAAGGCTCACCCGGTCGCGGTAACTCTCCAGGTGAGCGGAGGCTCAATGCTTCTCGACCGGGCACGAGCACTCTGGGCACGCCACGCAAGCAGCCACCGTACCCCTTAGGTCGTGGAACTGTGCACGTGAATCCGGAAAGCCTGCTGTATGAGCCTTTACAGCTGGTCACAACGGATATTGAGCTGGTCGAAAAGAAGTTTTCGACAGTCTTGCGTCGGAAAAGCCTCATGGCCAACGCTGGTCGGTCTATCGTGATCGACGTTGGAGGCGGGCCGACCGGCGTGACACTGCCTAAGCATCGACGAGTAATCAACGAAAAGGAAAACAACGGTGTTGAAGAGAAGGCCGACGCGGTTCCGACTCCATTTGCTAGAGAGGAAGGAGCAGCAGAGGATGGTGAGGAAAAGGATGCAGCTGCTACTCGAGATGGACTCCTACTAGGAATCAACGAAGCCTCGAGAACTAGTGACCACGATAAGAATAATGGAGGCCTTGCTTTGCGAACTGCGACAACCACCACGGGTCACCTACAACAAGGAGGAGCAGGCGATGGTGTTGGACGAACAGCGCTTTTCAACGTGCCAGCATCTTCCACGACTAATGTTGGATTCAATACAACCAACAATATGAACATTTCGAATAAACCAGTTTTGTCGGGCTCCCCTGGGCAAAAGGTCTTGTCGTCTTGGGACGTGCTTCGAAGTCGTGATGATATTCCCTACTTCTACAACTGGGCTACTGGGGAAGTTCGATACACCCATCCCGACGCGGATCCAGGCGAGGACATATTAGTGGCTCGTTCAAGGCGCCTGAATCCGCATCATCGTGGCATGACGCGCGCACGCGTCGGCTTTGATCCGGAAAACGTAGGTGATCGACAAAAGATAGACCACTTGCTTCCTGGTCGTGCAGCTCCTGCAACCGGGAACAAGGCAAGTCCAGCGAAGCGGAAAAATGCGCTTTTGCCTAGTGGTGGAAGGATAAGGGACAAGTCTGAAGATACGAAAAACTTTTACAAAAGGCTTCGATTCCACCTGAAAACTCCATTGGAGCTACTTCTGGAAGACCAGACTGCTCAAGGTAGCGCAGAGGGACAACAAGGAGCTCAAGGACGACAGGCTGGCGTCGGAGGGGTGGCAGGACCAGCACCTGGAGGTGCCTTTCAGTCCCATGAGCAACAACCCCTTTCAGGACCAGTTTCAGGCACAACACGCGAAGCAGGTGGTGGGGCCGCGGAGCCACCTGGTGCTCCAGCAGGCCAACAAGGTCGAAAAAATCTAAAATTCGATATTGAGGATCCTAGTGAGCCCATGAGTTTCGCGCAAGCGCAGCGTCTGCCCGAACTCGATGTCAGTGGCCGGACACGAGAACTAGCCGACGCCGTTTTTCACAAGGTCCGGCCGGATGCGGACACGCAAGCTGACATCGACGCATTGGCACAGCACTACCTGCGGAACAGCTACATGCCAGATAATATCCTGCCTGGTGGCATATTCGAAAGCAAGGACGACCGGGAGCGCAGATGTCAAGTAAGTAAAAGGAGAACTCCAGTGAACATTTACCCAAAAGACTACTACTTGTACCAAAAACACCCAAAGTACAAGAAGCGCATCACGGAGCATAACAACCGAACCGTGCCAAGGTATCCTGGGGGAAGTCGTTATCGCGCGATCTGGACCACGCTGTTCGTACGCGCCGACACACATCTAAGCCATTGGGAAGACCCTGTAACGAAGCACACTCTCTCTAATGACGTTCCGCGATACTTCGGACCCGTCATGCTACATGTGTAATAATACAACAACACTGAGTGAAGATTTTCATAGCTTAATAGTCCCCCGCCCACGCTTAAGAATATCCTGAGTATTCGCCATGCTCTTCCGAAATTGACGCCTGTATACTACATTGATTGTTCCTCTATTGTTGGATTTACAAATTACGCATTCATCACATATTTTCTCGGTCTTCCCAACAAGTGTAAAATTTGTATACCTATACCTTCTTTTGAAAAATAAATATTGTTGGGTACTATAACGAGTACGAGGTCGAAAATTGATCGTCTCGTAAACATGGTTGGACATGGTGAATCATTTAACAAGAATGAGTTTTACAAATACCTGAATTGGAAAGAATTACAAAGATACTAGGTGCTCGCTTTCCTCGTGGAGGACGAACGAAGTGGCCGAGGTCTTTTCGGGTCTTGGTGCGACGTTTTGTTCTCGCAACATGTTGATTGTTTCAAAAATGTAATCGGTTCCGGTCCATCAGATGTCAGATCGGATGACCTCTGCTACAGCATGTGCTACGGGTGCCGGTGTGTGCATGCTGGCCAAGAAGACGAGAGTCACTAAGACTACCAGCATGTTGATAGAGCTACTGGAAACTACATGAAGTTTGCTGGGATACGAAAATCCTGAACCTGATGTCGAAGTAGTACTAGAGGAAGCGAAATACGGATAAAGACACGAATATCTCCGCTACTAGGTCTAGGATGGAATATTCCGTCCCCCATTATCATTTTGTGACAAAGCGTGGTTTTTCTTGTGGTAAGCCCAGTGCTGCGCTAGTTTTGGATCTGACGACGACCGAAGACGATACAAATTTTGTCCGTGAATCGTGGGCAGCAACGCCAGAGTTAGACGCGGCATTCGTAAACCTCAAGGGTCTTTTCCTAGCATCCATTACGCTATCGCGAACTGCACTCGGCGGCCCTGTGCGATCCCTCACTTTGTCCCTTGACGACGTAGCAACGAGCGGCGCAGGTGGCACCGAGACCAGTTGCGCTACGACGTCGGCTTCCGGATCGAATAACACCACAGGCTCAGCATCATCCACTACGAATGCTACTCCCCCCGGCGCTGGCTCAAGTGCTGGAATTGGCGCTGGGTCCTTCAAAACTTCCAAGAAGAGGACAGGATCACCAGATGGGCAACGAAAGAAACCCCCGCAGGACGATGAGCAAGCGACAGCGACTGTGACTGTGCAACATGCCTCTCCCTCTACAAAGTTTACACCACACCAGCAAGCGTGTGGACGATTCGTGGCCCACTTCTGCGAGTTCGGTCAGTCTTGGGCAGTGATACTCATACACGCTTTTGATTCGTTTGGATACGGTGAACAAACGGTTGATGTTGTTAACGGGGAACCGCTTGTTGGTACGCTCTCCTTCTTCCTGCAGAGCTACTTTGCTTTTCTTCGAGACCAGGTGAAGAGGGCATGCACCACAGCTGCCCATCTGCCACGACTTTCATTATCGGATATCCTGGCTCCATGGGAGCCGAGTGAGGTAGAACCCCACCAGACATCAAAAGGAACAGTGGAGGTTGTCATTGGTTTACTTGACGTGGTGCACGACAGTGTCTTGCGAGGCCATCACGCGTTAACTTTGGATCCATCTCTTGCACAATATCATGGAGATGGAAGTCGGACTGTTGAACAACCGGCAGGCGCGACCTCCGGTCGAAAAGAAGATGGTACGATTGCACAGAAAGCAATCGACGCAGAGCAAGACGGTAGTAGTGAAGATCATGGGAATGGCACACGAGGCATTTTACATCGACATGGAAGCGCAGCTAGTGCAGGTCAGCTGTCGGCATTAGATGCCGATCTCAATGCATGTCTTCGGTATGGTTCAGGAGTTGGCTCAGAAGAACATGGTGCCGCGTCGAATGGCAGCAATCAGCCGAATCCGGTATGGAATTTCTTTCCCGCAAGTAGTCCTAGTTGGCCATGTGTTTCTGACGTGTCTGGTGATCTTCATCAGGATGGAAGCTGTCGTCAGGACGTAGTTGAAGATGAAACTATCAACTTCAACGGTACCAGTCGAATTCTTTTGACAAAGCCTTTTGCAACGCGCCCACAGACTGGGGGCGCCGCGCTCCCATCTCCGTCTAATGGGTCCATCTATTGTTCATCATCAACTCCATCTTGCGGAAGCGAACATGTCGGGAGTGCGGCATGTAGTAGTTCGTCATCATCTGTTGCTAGTCGTGCAGCTGTTGCCAGTGGAGGTGAAATCCCTAGCGTCGTGGGATATTCATCACAGAAGTCTGTCTCTCCTGCAGGAGTCGATGGAACTTCAATCGCGGGACATGTGGGCCCATTGCCTTCTCACCTAGAGCCACTTGGTACTGCCGCAGCATGGCCATCCCACCTTGTGCATTCAAGCACGCGACGACCACACCTAAACAAAGACCCTTGTTATGATTCTGGAATTTGTTACTAAGTTAGTTGTATTTTGTCTTTATCTTTAAGTTACTTACTTAAACTTATTTAAAAAATCTTCGGTCGTGGTGGTCTTGATCTTGTGTCACAAACTTCAAGCATAAAGATGAACTTCCGCAATTTGTTTCCGATCAGCTCTAATTCTCGGCGAAGAGCGACGCTTCGGCCGACGACGACGGGGGTTATCTTTCTGTTGCCAATCCAATGGATCTGCTGGGCTACATGCTCGGTTGGCCAGAGACGGGGCCCGACGGAGCTGCTATTTCTGGATAGTATGGCCATTAAGTACAAGAGCATAAACGTAGCAGTAAATTTGAGACAACTTGTTCTACTTTATTACTTCCACAATAATTATAAAAAGGTGGAGCTTAGCCTTAGCCTTAATAGCGAACTTGACCGTCTTCTCGGCATCCTTTTCCTTACCGTTTTTGCATGTGTTCTAATTTTTTGGCGGGAATCGTGCAGCGGAGAGCGACTACTTCATGTACAGCACCGCCCGTGGTGGTCGTGAAGAGGAGTTGCGGGTGTTTAGCCCCCCTCACATGAGGAAGAACAGTAGCAGAGTTTACAGCGGCGGCAGAGACTCCAACTATCCACCAAGAGGGAGTCTCCCGGGTGTGAGCTCCAGTACTGCTTCTAGGCTTCTTGATTTTTCCCCGGAACGACCTCGTAGTTTGCGTGGTTCTACTTACCGGGGGAACAGTCGGGAACGTATAGCCGCGTTGACGGATCGAAGTGGTCTAGAGTGTACGTCGACCAGGGCCATAGATGAAGTGGCAACGGAGTTCCAACACATTCTACGATACAATAAATGTGCCATTAACAGTGTGAGTGGTGTGTCAGGAGGTATGATCGGTGGACTTGGTGGACAAGTTCTACAAGAAGGAAAGTCCACCTCATCTTCATCATTTTTATCCTCGACAAGAGGAGATGAGCCAAAACCACTACAAGCAGTCCAAAGTGGCAAGGGTCAGCATCATAACCCTCAGCCACGATCAGGTCGCAAACCGTTGTTCGATCAAGTCAACGACTTTTCTCCAAGAAATTGCGCTGGCACTTTCTCTCTCAGCAGTACGAGTAGCAGTGCAGGACCGCTTATGAAGATAACCGCCCTGAGTTCCTCCACCAGCGAAGATAACTCCACCGGTACGTCAAATGATTCAGATTTAATACAACACGTCGCAGCAGATAGAGCTAGGACTCTATCTCGTGTGGTTGTTCAGCTCGCATCACCAGACGCCCTTGATCTGATGTGGTTCGAATTGAGCCGACTAGGAAGGGAACGAAAACTAGCAAATGGAGCACGAAAGTCGCGCGAAGAGAGGAAGAAAGAGTTGCATCAGAGCGTCCCGGTGCTCCAGCTTGATCGTGGAGGACCAGACGATGTTGAGACGACGCCAGCACCGATATCCCCAGCACCAAACGAGTTTGATCCTTTCGATCATATAGTTCAGGTAGGCGATCTTACCGGTCTTGAACACCAGGAGAAGCAAAAGGGCGAATGGACGAGTGGCTCAGCTAAAAATAGTACCTTAGCTCAACCATCGGCTTCTGCAACTGCAACCCCAACTTCCATGCAACAACAGCGGCGAAAGCGCAACCAGCACCCAGGCCAGTTATCGTCATCATCTTCGGGGTTCGCAGTTCAGGACCAGGAAGATAATGCGAGAACGGATGATAATATCGCAGACAAAATAGATGGGGACTATCATCATGATGGTCCAATTAGTCTCTTAGAACTTCCGACGACGTTTTGTGGTGGAACGGTCGAGTTAAGACGGTATAGACGACATCAAATCGATCCTGCGTCGCTGAAATATAATCGACCGCACGACGAGGACAAGAACGCGAATTCCTCACGTACACCTACGGGAACACGAGACGAAAATTACGGAGACGAGAACGCAAACAAGGAAGCGATTTTCTTTTACTATACACACGACCAAGAGCACGAACAGCGACGGAGAGATCGCGTTGATGGAGTGAATGTTGGTGAACAACTTGGACCAACTTTTGGTCATCAACAATGTCAAGAACATCTACTCCAGCAAGAACAAGAGGTGGAGGTACAAAACAAGAGCTTCGGTGAGCAATCTGTTTTTGCAGATGCTGATCAACAAGTTGGAGAGGCGGACACAACGACAACTGTCTTTCAGGAGAGCAATCACACATCAGAAGGTGTAGATCTCGTCGGGGCGGCTGCACAAGTGAGCAGGACTTCATCTTGTCACGAATGTTTACAGACAAGCGCACATGCGATCTTTTCCGAATGGCGCATGATGAGGACCATTCAAGAAGCCGCCGCACGACGTACATATTGTCGCGATATTGTCCGAACCTGCCCCGCACTCAAATTGCTCTCCCTCCTGCCATTACTGAAAACACGACTTCTTGACGGCGACCAAGATGCAGCAGTTGCGTGTGCTCCAATAACATCAAAAACCTCCGGCCCGCAAAGCGTGTATTCAGCACGTGAACTGCCCTCAAATGACCTCGCAACTTCTGGGAGTCGTGGTTTGGCGACTAAGAAGAGCAAGCGCGATCTTGTCGCACTGTACAGGGACAAAAATGAAGATAAAGTTGTAAAGAGGATCGTGAGACGAAAATCGATTCTGAAGATGACCTCTGGTACGGATGCTAGTGCCGCAGACGGTGACAGAGAAGGTAGCAACGCCGGTTGGGAGCGATCTGGATCGAAAAAAAAGAGATCATGGGGCGAAATTTTTGCAACATCAATAACTGTCGATGACAACGAACCTCTTCAGAGTAAGGCGGGGTCAACAAAAGAAGATGCATCAATTGCAGCAGCAGATGTTTCGAGCGGTAATCGTATCCTTTCAGCAGAACATGCTGGCGATGGCGGCGTCTCTTCCTCGTTCCGTGAAGGTGCAGCAGGAGTGAGCTCGAGCTCCAAAGATATGCCTATGCCTTCAAGAACATCTATAGAACTACAAGTACCTCAAGCTCAACCTCCGAAAAATGGCAAGCGTTCCCGCCTTACGGATTTTGGGGAGGGATATCTTCATGCGGGTTCCTTTCCGTCATCGTTGTGTCATCAAGTACATTCCCTTGCGGAACTTTGTGCGAGTCTATCAAGTAGTAACGACCAAACTTGTTGTACTGAAGACGTCAACTACGTGAAGCGCACACAAGCCGGGTCGTCCGAAGCCCATAGCCGTATCGAATTGAAGCGAGCGATTGTAGCAGACTATCACTCACAAGTACTGGCTCACGCATCAGCCCCTATGCAATTCAAGTGTACTGCGCCGCTGCGAGAGACGCTGTAGTTGGATACGGAAGTTGATCTTGATGGATAAAGATGCTTGGAAGCGTTAATAACCATACACTGAGTATGAGTTCGTATTCGAAGTCGAGTACGTCTTCTGTGAAGTCGTAGGATAATGTATGACTTACAATGAGTTAGACATCTACAGCAGGAGCTAGAGATGAACACCTAACGAAACACGAATTATTATTTTAGCGTAGTTTATAGAACGGATGTAGGATGGACTTGGATGGATCGGATGGATCGGATGGACCCCCCTGATTCTTCCGATCCTACTTGAATTGGTGGAAAGTCCATCCGTTCCATCCGATCCATCCGATCCAGCCCATCCCGTATCTGGCACCCCTATAAACTGCTTTATTATTTACTTCTTTTCTTACCTTGAGCTTGAGGACCTCGACCTTGTGCTTGTCATTAAATAGCTTCGACCTTGTGCTTGTCATTAAATAGTTTATTTGCTTTGATTTTTCATTTCCATTTTCAGTTTTGGAACGCAAGCAGCCAATTCATTGCGTTTTTAGCTCCATGAAACTTGATGTTCATGTACGTACATGTTTGTCAAGTAGTTATAATATGTATATTCATAAGTGTATTCATCGTAGTACCATTGGGTTTTCCTGGCCAAGCTCGTCCACGTACATGACATGAACCACGTACATGACATGAATGTTGAGGAATAGCCGCGCTGCAGATGACGCTAACGAATTTTATTACGGTGTGTGTTCAGGACAAGTGGCTTTTTGGACGTCTTGATGTTCTGCTTCCGCACCCATCTTTCACAATGGAACGATGTATATACCTATATATATAATGAAAATTATAGCCCTTTTCGTCGCCTTCTCTCGTACTATCAGTCCCTGATCAACAAGCGCAGTGGTCAGCACCTGCGTGCTTCCAATTGCTTACTGCGACATCTTCCTCTCCTCGTTTTGAGACAGTCGCTCAGTCGCTGAAGTCAACGCTCCTACAACATCATGCCGTCGTCTCCTCCAGTTGTCGCACGGGTTTCTCCTCGTCGTGCTCGTGCTCGCGGGGCGGGTGTTCCACCGGGTAGTACTACAAGGCAGGTGAACCCGAGTACACAGATGGAGTCGGTTTTGCACTACAGTGCACTTCACGAAGCGCATGACAAGCCTCACCACGCCCGCAAACAGAGCGCTGAAACTTTCGCATCATCCTCGAAGCCATATGGAGGAGCAATCAACCACACCACCAGAGGACAGCCTGGAGCCTCTCCCCTTGAAGAAACAAATAGTGCACCTCCTTCTGGATCATGTGGTGGAGCAGAATCAAGAAATGAATCACCTCGACGACACCATAACCTACATTATCCGGACCCGCAGCAGTATAATCAAGTAGTTTGAGTTTGTTTGTACTTTTCGTTTTCACACAACTTGTCCTTGTCGTAACTCCAAATGGTATACCAAGCAAAGTGCTGGCACAAGTCAAAGATCAAGTATAATCATTGTGTCTTCCTTCCATAGACGAACATCAAGAACGTCACAAGAGTGAATGATATTAACTTTTACACTCTATTCTTGTTGTCTCTCTTCATCAAAGGAATATCGGCGCTCCATCAGTGAGCAACCGTGGGCAGCTAGAGGACTGTCGCTTTTTCGTCTCGGGGTTGGGTAAAAAGCGAGTGAACAATGCCAACACCATGTCTGTTGAATCAAGACGACAAGGTGATGTGATTTTCGGAGAATACAAGGTAGTAGATTCAGTTTGTTTTCCCATGATCCATCTGAATTTGTACTTGTAGTGAAAAAATACATCAAGTTCGACAAGTGATCCATCTAAGGGTAATGAAGATTGAATATTGTTAAGACCTTTCTGTTTATACTATTCGGATTCATTCTTTCAGGTCGGACGAGGCCGCGCATATGCGAACGTGGAACACGCGGTTTCAAAGTCAAGCCTAGAGCAAATGCGATTCGATAGCTCTTCCTGATCGCGGTTTCTCATTTTTGTTCTTGCAGCATTGCGATTATCTTTTTCTTTATCTCCTTCCTTGTCCTTGTACTTGATGTGGTATTTCAGTAAAGTCTTTGTCTTCGAAGAGATAACTTTGCCACTGCTAGTACCCCAATTTGTGTACAGCCCCAATTTGTGGATAGAATATGAATCAATGGTTTTTCTTGAATAAGGTGGAGGTAAGGAATATCTATATCATCTCTTGATTCATCATCTCTTGCTTTTGTAATTGTTGGTAGATCACAGGAAGACTACTTGTGCAATATACAATAAATGAAAAAATATCACGTCCCAAGTCGTGGTACGCCGAGGCCGAACAACTCAGACCACACCAGCTAGCAGGTTTGGCATTCAAATTAGCAAGGGTTATTTCGAGGAGTTAGCATGGCTCTCGTAAGCGTTCATAGTACCTCCAAGATCATGAAGATTTAGATTTTCCGCTTTTTTATCAGGAATAATCAAAGCCAAATTCGGTGGATACTCAACTACATGACGGGAATTTTATGTGTACAGACATCATGTAACAGACCATCGATAAAGATCATCTAGATCTAGCACAAGAAGCATATCTTATCTGCTGTAGCAGCCCGAGCACATAGTAGAGTGCCTGACGAGCTGTCGGCTACTTTCACAAATAGCAGCAACGTTTCATGATCTTGATTAAATCTCATCTTGGTTGCAAGCAGGCGTATACCTTTCCATCCGAAAACCAACCCCAGCACTTAGATTTTGATGAAACAAGAATAGAAGCTCACTTTCCACTCAACATAATGGTAATAACGTCCCATGGTTGAAGATATAGTTGCCTTGCTCTAGCTCTCGCACGAAGATGAGGCAGCGCGGGAGGCTCCTGTTCTTGGTCTTTGTGCAGTCGTCTTACTCCGATCGGTGACTAATGAATACCTGTACATGAGAGATTGAGATTGCTTGAGAGTGCAGATGAACTCCACTCTGTGAATCTAGAAGAGATTGTATAAAGTACCGATTGTTCCTGGTGTATGAGAATGAGCTTGTTGGTTGTCGGTGATCCATTAGCATTACATCGTAATCGGTTATCTCTTTCCCTCTCTGTCATGTCATCTGTACCTTTTATGACCTTGTTCTGAATCGGTGCTTAAGTCAATATCGAGCTTACCTGGTCCTCTCGCCCGCGATACAGCATCATTTGGCAGCTTTCGTAACACCCACCTTCCGCTCAAACAAAAACATTCATCCACGCCTGTCGCTTGCAACCTATCCCTAGCTTGTACTTGTTTACGCGACATTATTGTTCTTTCAATCGTTGTATGCCTTATAATTCAATTGCAAATGCAGGCCTGCCACCCAGACGTGGTGATTCTTGTGCTTCTTGGTTATCTTCTTTGCACCTTTTCACTCCTCTTCTTCAAAAAACGCAAAGAATGTTGAGAAGTGCGATCAGGAGGCAGATACTGGTAGGTTCAATCTGCTAAGCAGGTGCAAGTAGATCATGTTTGATGTCGATCGATAATATTGAGTAGGTCTTTTTTTAGAAATATTACAACGTTTTAACAACGGCAGACGCAGATTTACCTTTGAATATCACCGATTTGTGTATCCGATTTCATCAGATACATCTTCACGTGATATTTTTCGAGTACGTAGCTCTAGCTATTACTGGTAATACTATTTGAAGATAATGATAACTGGTATCATTTAGAAAATCAAGGAAGCGAAATGCCTCCCCAATCAGCGAAAATGTCCTTGCAAGGCAGACGGGAATACCATGCAACCTTACAGTCTGCCACTCGACCGACCTCGGGGGAAAACCGCGAACCACGCGACACAAGAACGACAACTCAAAATCCAGGCTATTCTGTATATCTAAGGCGAGGCCATAACCACTAGATCATGAAGATATCAATTTTTCTCTTCCTTCTTGGAAGCATAGTCAATATGCCATATTGCATGAAGAGCGATTCAGTGAATCTTCGTTCTCTTCTAGAAGTAACGATAACGACATTCTGCTACTGCCTACTTCTATGTATAATACCTGCTTCTTCCGCTTCCGCACCAATCTTATCTCTCCAAATACAACTACTCAAGTGCTGGTACACGTATTCTCAACCAATTTTCATCTGCTCCAGTACTTACACGTCCTCTCCTCTCGTCAACATCTCCTTTAGTACGAACACGAGCGCGTCTCATCTTGTTGTAGTTGTCAACATGCATCTTCTAATTTTGCGTGGTGATCCTCGCAATACAGGGAGAACAACAACTCTCGCTCGCAAGCCAAGACATGCGACATCGTCCGCTGTAGAGGCATCGTGCTATGAAAAGTGTTGTATGTGCGCATGCTGTCCCTTTGGTGGTGGATTGTCGAATAAACAGGAGACCGCCGAACCGACAGACCGAGAAACGGTTGTTCGCGATTCAGATTTTGTGCTATGGAAAAGTAGCGCTTAGATTGCTTAGTAGATTAAACAAGTGCATGGTAATACCACTTGTACTTCTTTTTACAACAACTATTTGCAACCTGTTACCTCAAGTTGAGCATACGGATACTAAGATCTATTCCACTGGCTAGTGCCTTATCACTGATTTCAGTCATTCCTCTTTTTCTGCTCGCCCTACTTTTCTTCGTCTTCCTTCATTTAGTGTGTCCGCTGATGGCATGCAATACGCGGATGAAGCGGATGATCTCGAGTCGGCGAGACGCAACAAGAAAAAGCGTAACATGACAAATTATGGCACTCTTGTTTTCGAGGGGGCTGACGGCGAGCAGAGGAGCACTACAAATAAAAGCACAAATAAATCAGGACTTATTTTTGGTGCGGGGTCCTCGTCAACTACATCGAAGAACTACGGGAATGCGACGTTCTCTGGTGAAAATTCGTCGTTGGTTGGTGCACCAGTTCAAGTGAAAACTTCAGTAGAATCTGAAGGCTTAGACGATGTAGCAGAGCAGTTGTTGCAGTGGCGACGCGAGCAGGCAAAGCCTCGCGCGCATCTTTCTTTATGAATCAATGTTGCATGCTTGTGCTGTCGTTTGTGATGTAATGTTTTAATATTTTTTCGCGAAGAAGAAGAAGAAGATAATGGAAGGAAAAAAAAATTATACTTGCGAGGCTTACTTGCTTCAACTTCTGGAATCTTGTAAAATGGAAATGCGTAGTTCAGGCGAAGTTTTATGTGCAAGAACTAAGTACTTACTACAACAACATGCAGCTGCAGCTTGATGTGGAGAACTTGTAGCAACATGTAGGTGCAGGAAGTCCATGCTTGCAGATCCTAGATTCGGTTTCTTTCCAACCTGTAAACACCACTAGAAACTTCCTACACGGTTCTAAGAGGTTACTCCTCACGTGTCACGAGGTCACAGTCACACCTTCGCTCGTTATATAAAGGGCCGACTCTAGTCATAACCTTACAAGCATGGATGGCCTCCACCTTCACACCAGTATCGAGCGAAAGCCCTCCTCTTCTAAAAAGAGCCTCGTCTGATACTGATCACTATAGTAATTTTGCCCCGATGAAGATGAGTCATATAGAGGATCATGAAGAAGAAGATAATCAAGTGGACGCTGGGGGAAGCGGCAGTTCCTTACTCGAGTTTGACGGAGAGGATGACGACGACGAAAATGATGTACAGCCTCCAGGCGATGACCTGGACCATATGGAAAAACAATTCAGGGAGTTCCAACTCCACCATCACCAGCTTAAGGAGGAAGTAGATGTTGGTTATTGTTGTAGTTGTTGTTAGCTGCATTCATATTACATTTATACATATACACTCTGTAGTGGTGTAGATGCTTGGTCGAATTCATTCTCCATTCGTGCGAGCAGCGAGGTACAACTGAAGATACTCGGTTCTGGTACGCACAATATCAATACCCCTTTGTAAATAGAGCAAGCACAACCTCTAAAGCAACGGAAATACGGAAGCAAGCAGGTCCGCGAGGACTCAATGTACAGCCAACTGGAGGAAGAGGCCCTATCAGCATCCATCAGAAGGCCGGCGAGGGTGAAGGAAAAGGAGAATCATTCCCGGAGGTGGAGGAAGATGAAGATCTTATGGTGCAGCTCAGACATATTTTCAGACTCAGAGACCACCGCAAGGAACCGCTGGTGTCCGAAAGAGTAGATCGGAGAAAAATCAGAAGAGTTACCATGTATATGTAAAAACAGCAGGTTATAGCGTCGCAGAAGTGATTTGATACTCATAGCTCTACTAGGTGTAAACTTTCTACACATGGGACGGCAAGGGAGACTGATTGATTCACTTTCTAGTGTTGAAACATTGTTAAATTTCCGGTCTTCGTTTTCATAAAAGCCTATGACGAGGAGATGAAGGCTTTGCGGGTCTTTGAAGACGAGGAGCTACTGCGAGAGGCCGAAACGGCACTTGACAAATTAAGGCAGCTGTAGATTTAGATAAGAATTATGCGAATCTCTCGTTTTTTTACACGACTTCTACTTCTTGTCGAACATGAACAGCTTTTAGACGTCTATCAAATATATGTTCCAGGGTGCAGGGTAGCGGCCTCCCCCCTGAGCGCGGGGGGGCGTGGATCCCCGGACCCCTTTTGAAGGCGTCTGCCAGGGGTGGAAGGCTTCCAAAGGGGTCCAAGGGGCCTCCTCCGCTCCCTTCCAGCGGCCTGCATGTACCCGAGAGACTTCCTATATGCTGGCCCCTCGCCGCAGCAGCAGGCTGCCGGGTGTGGAAGGCCTCCGAAGGCGGCAAAAGGCTGGATCCCCTGAGCCGTGTGGCCTGTACCCTCCGGGCCTTTGGTCATCGGCCTGCTGGCTCTTGCCGCGCATTAATTTGATGAGGGGAGCCCAGCAACAGGGGCCCGGCATCGAGACCGTGGCCGCCTTCGGCGGCCTTCTACACCGGAGACCTCCGCCTACGAGGGTCGGCAAAGGCCCGGACGTCTGTCGGGAACATGCCGAGAGGCGTGAGGGGGCGCCCGCTCCCAGTTTTGACGCCGTCCACCCCGAGAACCCGGGAAAGCAGCGCGGAAAGGAGCGCACAAGCGCTACCACAGATCCACCCACAGGGGCGAGCGGGCGTTTCTGTATCATATACCATTCTGTGTAGTTTGTTAAAAACTGCTTAAATTTCATCCTTATGCCTGCGGTAGGTGTTGTAGCCAGCACGATTAATGAAAAGAAATAGTTTAGAAGTAGTAGAAAATGGAAATAATGAATGATTATGAAGGGCCTGTGCAGGTCCAGGTCTAACACCACAACGAGTTCTCACGGTAAATCTGCAATACGCTGAAGATCAAGAGTACGCTTCGAAGAAAAGGAAAGGGAACGGGCAGAGTGGTGCCTCGTTTAGAAGTACATCTTCGTCGAGTAACGAGGACTCCGACTCTTCATCATCATCAAGCAGTTCTTCGAGTGACGAGGAAGAAGAGCCGGTAATCGAGCCAGAAGAAGCTGAGCGTATCAAAAGGATCGTAGATGGTCCACGACGGCAACAAGAACTACAGGTAACACGAAACAGCTCCTCAAGTACAACGAGAACTACATCTTCGACGAGAGTATCTTCAGCGTTTGCTGCTCCTGACACCGATGGGGACCCAACTGACAACGGGTTTCAAGAAGCAGCACCATCTCCCGAGGATATGTCACCGGTTCGAGTACTACCAAAACCGCCACCTGGCACAACACGTCCCTCCAAGCCTATCATTGGGTTCGCTACTAGAAACTCTAACTCGGCTAAAGATAAAAAGCTATTTGATGGTGCTGGAGGAGGGGCCGCTCAACCGAAAAAGTTGTAATCCAGGTTGTCAATGATCTCAATGCTTCTCAGGATCTATCTTTTTGATTGATGAACATTATATATACATAGAAGAAGATCACGTTGTTATTTTTTCGCGGTGTCCGTCGATTGTGTTGGCAGGAGCATTTTTATATGTGCCGACTCTTGACTCTTTAGTTAGGACGAGGCTTCACATCGACATGGCCCCTTTTCAAGCCGCTGACCCTTCTTCATGATCGCACCCCTGGATTGGCTTCCTTGGGTTAACGTACTACTACTAATAATACCACTACCGACGATCGCCCTAAGTAAACGAAGCCAGTACTTCGCGCTACTGGTTGTGTCAACCACCCTGATGTTTGTCGCTTCCTAGAATTTCCCACTCAACAGCCTCGAAGGGCAAGGAGAATAGGCGAGCCGAGGTCAGTGGAAAAGCATCGCCACAGCCGCTATCGCTAATATTGCTATGAATTCCAACACTATAGGTCTAATTCTATGATGATCATCATCATTGTTGCCCATGCCCATGTTAACCTTAACCATATCTTGCTTCCGGGTCCTTGCTGCAAACTAGTCACGTTTAGGTACATTCAATCTTGCACTTGGTAGTAGTTGCATGATCTTCAGCATAAACATAATCCATACTACGTCTAATACGGTGATGAAGGCGCCGACCTACACCTACTCCATGATATTGAAAAACTCCAACATCTCCATAGTTGTACATCAACACATCGATCATCGATTTCGATATCTTCAAATTGCATAGATTGGCCGTGGCCACATGCACATGCATTCAGTGAAAGAAAGCAAACAAATCGAACTATTCATCAATCATTAGAATCTTCGAGAAATTTATTTCGTATCTTCTTGATCTTCTTCCCTTGTACAATTTATTTTTCCCTCACAAATATTAATTTCAATTTCTCACATAGTACTCATGATCGACCCATAGACGTAGACCACCTTAATTAGCCTTTCATCTACTTATCCCCATACATTTACATAGTGTATCACTATTCTTGTTCACATTCACATCATGTACGTGTTGTACCGACACGCAAAACGGAAAGTCGTGATGTCCCAACTTCAAAGAATTCCGTGCGCACAAGATTGCAAACCCTCTCCATTAGTTGTCACCTTTCGGTCATAGTAGACCGACAGAGACGCCTCTATCGGCTCTTCTGTCCTGGTTCGAACTTGACTTGCATTACCACTTCTGTGCTTCAGAAATAATATACCACTTCTCTGTATTCCTATTCCTATACATAGTACCACAACCACGTTCAAGCAAAACAAGCAAAACGAAATCTCATTGTTCATGCCTTTTGCCTCAGTTTTTCTTACACGGGACTTCTGGACGAGTATAGAAGGAAAAATTTGAAACTTTTGGGCTTGGGCTTCACCTGATGACGCGAACCTGCGGAGGTTGATGTAGTCGGTTTCTCTCATCACAATGTTTAGAAGCTGATGAAGATCAACACGTTATTCCGATTTCCCGAGTGAACCACCATGAATGTTGAGAGAAGAGCAGGAGGCAAAGAGGCTCTCTTCCTACTACCAATCTGTCAACAACATAAAAGACGTTCTTTGAGAAATCGTATCTTTGGATCCTTGCATCAGAGATGAAGTAGAAAATAAAGGTAGTCGTGGTGGTCTCCGAAGGAGCCACGACACGGAAGGACGGGGGCAGGTCGTGTTCCATTTTTGATCAGATGATAATCATATGTACCGAGCAAGACCAAGAGCATGTCCTCTACTTCTTTTTTAGTCCTCCCGCGCCTTATCATTACAAAGACGACGCTCCCAAAAGTCTTGTAGGTAAGAATTACACTTCATGCAATCGTTTTCGTAGATTTTTTCAATGTTGTTGCAACTGCAAACACTAGCATTGGCTTGCGTATGGTCGACGTAGTTATCGTCTTCAAAATGCATTATGACGATGATCTTGATTGTTCAACGTCGTTACCATGATTGATGCCGCGACTATTATCGCAACTGCAGCCGAATATTACAGGTGTACTAGAGGGTAAGACGTAAGTGAGGGGCCGCGGTACCGAGCTGATGCCGATGAAAGACGAGAATGCATCCTGGTGCTGAGGAGAACGGTGTGTGTTGTTGTTGAGGTTTCATTGAAACAGAAGCTGGAGCTGCTCTTTTAAGTAATGGTTCACGAAGACTTCTGCACTTATTGTAGCACTTCTACGACTAGTACAACGATGTACGAACAAAGGTATGCATCCGACTCGCAACGCGATGGTGCCGACGTTTCTCGTAACCTCCAAGCCTGTTACAACAGTGCAGGAGGTGAAGGAGGATCATCGGCCGCCCTGTCGTCCTCCCTCTTTACGCCCTTGCTCGAGCACGAAAGGTATCCTCATTCTTCGCCTTTTCGAGACGATGCTTCCCCACACGATCACGACGAAGGCGGGGCTCCTGTTCGACAGCACCACGGCGCTGGCTCATCGTTATCATCCACATCCTCGTCGAAGGAACTGCATCAGCTTGACATCAGGAATCCGTTTTCCTTACTGATCTCCCAGACCGCACCAACGATGCCATGGATTTTCCCTGTGGCTAGCGACGAACTCCAGACTAGAATCCAATTGCAGACGGCATCCTCAGGAGGCAGCTCATCCCGGGAAGAAGATGATGCACGCTCATCAAGAGAAGAACACCTCTTGTTAAGGAGGAGGAGGCTCACTGTACCTAATGCTACTTCACTTCTTTTTGATTTCACAAAGAGCAAAAACGAGGGAGGTAACTTAGAGGACACATGGGACGATACTAATTTGACAATCACAATGACCATGCAAGAAGTGTCACTTTCCGGTGTACTTACTTTCCTCCTTAGGAAGATTCTGTGAAAGTGTAAGCGAAAGCAAGAGCCTCTAATATTGGAGGATGGAGTTCGGATGGAACTACAGCCGGATCTTCAAGAGAGTGGAGGGACGAATTTCAATCCTACAGCTGAGTTGAACAGAGGACACTATGATCCACCAGGTGCCCTAGCCGCGTTTCAACATTCAACGCCACCAGCAACCTCTGGAACAAGAGCGTCATCACCGCAGCAGGACGAGCAGCGTGTTTGTCCTAGACCATCGGAAATCAGCACAGGAGCAATTGGTGGAACAAGTTACTCTGCTTTGGGCGGGACTAGCATGTTGATGAATACAGGAGCGGGATCAGGTAGACTGAATCGGCCATCGAGTCCTACGGTTGTAGTCGTATCTGCGTCCTCCTCTTCTGCAACATCCAGCACAGAGAATTTGAGAGACTTAGCACGCTTTGGGGAGAAAATGAACCCGTACCTTCGACAGTTCTCAGCTGCTACGGCAAGTAGTTCTTCGTCATCAAGTGAGGACGCAAATAAAGAGCAGTCTAGGACGAGCACATCGGGAGCCTCAGCGACCTCGCAGCACCAGTCTTCTACAATCGCTTTCAATGGGGCAGCAATACTTCTAAAAAGCGATCGCAGTCAGAGGTCCACGGGGACAAGCGGAGGCTTGATGAGAAATGATCATAAAGGTGATGAATGTGAAGGAGGTACAGGTGTACAGGGATATGATGAGCGTGAAGGCCACCCTGCTCACCCTGTCGGAAACCGGGACCGCCCAATAAATTCTGTTAAGAGATCTGTGTCATCACCTGTATCGGGGAATCATAGCAAGAAGACAGGACCTAGCTCTTCTTCGTCGAGTACCTACTTTCACAAAAGATATCGAGATCGACCAACTTCGGCTAGGGCTTCGGCCTACAAAACTGGTAGCTCAGGAGCAAAGTACATGGTAAGGGTAACGGTTGGGGGAGTGGGAGGAGGAGGCAACTTTCCTGGGATGAACATCAATGAAGGCAGTAGTACAGACGCAACTTCTCAGCACCAACAAGCAGGTGGAGGACTTCCTCGTGGGCGGGATAGCAGGGGCCAATATCAAGAATCTGTTGTTCGCGGCACCGCTCCCTTTTCGCCAACTACGTCCTCCCACGGGGGTGGAGACGCCAGCCTCGCAGGCCAAAGAGCAACGTCGCCGCATTCTCTCGACCCAGGTGGAGGTGGCCAATTATCTTCGGCTAGTGCAGTGCAGAGAAGTGCCTCGGCCAGTGCTCGAGGTTTCTTTTCCGCCTTTTTTTCGAGTAGTGCTGGAGGTGGTTGTAGGTCCCAACAGCGAAGCTGGAGAGACGCGCTGTTTGGTCGAGACAAGTCGTCAGAAGAGCAGCATCAAGTAGAGGCATCTGCCAATCATGATGGTGTCTTGCCCCGAGCACAAGCAGGAGGGTCATCGAATACTGGCAATACGTCATCAAGGGATCAATTTCTCTATGATCGGGGCTACAGAATAAACAACATCAGCGCAGGAGACCTGGAGTCGGACCAGCAAGGAGGGCATCGGTTGTCGTTGCCGGAGCATCACAACTTAAGGTCAACCTTTAGTTTTCTAGTTCGTTGTTGTTGTTGAGTTTTGCGCATATTTCCATGGTGTGTTCATCATACAGATACTAGCTTGGAGCGTCCGATAACATCCCTCCCACTAGGATCCCCCTCCTCCCCAAAATAAGAAACCAAACAAGGCAAAGATGTAAGCGATACGCGTTCTCAAATTTCGAAAATTTTCCACGTTTTGCCATCGTTTGAGGATTGGGCCTCGTGCGTTTGAAGTCAAGGGCTAAGATCCCGAATCTTTTTGACTTTAAGCCGTTCCGCTGAAATTCAACTTCTTGGATTTGCGTTCTTCAAATTTCGAAAATTCTCCACGTTTTACGGTCGTTCTGGGATTGAATTTTGTGCGTTTGAAGCGCTAAAGTCCCAAAGTTTTTAAATTTCAGCCCTTTCCCTGCGATTCAGTTTCTTGATTTGCATTTTTCAAATTTCAAAAATTTTCCACATTTTGGCGCCGTTTTGGGGTTGAATTCTGTGCGTTTGAAGTGCTAAAGTCCCAAAATTTTTGATTTTAAGCCCTTTCCCTGAGATTCAGCCTCTTGGCTTCGCGTTTTTCCAATTTCGATAATTTTCCACGTTTTTCGTCGTTTTGGGAGTGAATCCCGTGAGTTTGAAGTGCTAAAGTCGCAAAGTTTTTGACTTTAGGCACTTTCTCTGGAATTTAATTCCGTGGATTCGCGTTTTTTCAAATTTCGAAAATTTTCCACATTTTTCGCCATTTTGAGAGTGAACCCCGTGGGTCTGAAGTGCTAAGATCCCAAAGTTTTTGAATTTAAGCCCTTTGCCTGAAATTTAATTCCTTGGATTCGCGTTTTTTCAAATTTCGAAAATTTTCCACATTTTTCGCCATTTTGAGAGTGAATCCCGTGAGTCTGAAGCGCGAAGATCCCAAAATTTTTGATTTTAAGCCCTTTGCCTGGAATTTAATTCCTTGGCTTCGCGTTTTTTCAAATTTCGAAAATTTTCCACATTTTTCGCCATTTTGAGAGCGAACCTCGAGCGTTTGAAGTGCTAAGATGCCAAAATTTTTGATTTTAAGTCCTTTGCTTGGAATTTAATTCCTTGGATTCGCGTTTTTTCAAATTTCGAAAATTTTCCACATTTTTCGCCATTTTGAGAGCGAATCTCGAGGGTTTGAAATGCTAAGATCCCAAAGTTTTTGATTTTAAGCCCTTTCCCCCGAAATTCAATTCCATGGCTTCATGGTAGTTTCGTGGTTTCATGGTTTCATGGTTTCATGGTTTCATGGTTTCATGGTTTCTTGGTTTCATGGTTTCATGGTTTCATGGTTTCATGGTTTCATGGTTTCATGGTTTCATGGTTTCATGGTTTCGTGGTTTCGTGGTTTCGTGGTTTCGTGGTTTCGTGGTTTCGTGGTTTC